ACCACCACCCCTGCTGCTGCTGCTGCTGCTGCTGCTGCTGCTGCTACTCCTACCACCACCACTACCAACAACGTTAGTGATACGGGTAAAACTCATAATTCCTAAGAATATATCGCATCAACAAGATTTCATAGTTTGAAGGAGATGCTCCGAAACGCCTGTCGGACACCGAGTTATGATCGCGGCTCGGGCGAGAGCCCGCAGCCCACGCGACGCAGACCCGAGAAGACACGAGCCGGGTGTTATATGGTCCAGCTGGACCCCAGAAAGCCTACCATTTTCGGGCCCCTCTGTACAAGTCCTTAAGAAGGTAGGTTATCTGGGTTTGAGCAAGAAATAGACGCCAACTGTAGGTTGTCACATTTCAGATTGTCTTCGGTGAAGTACTGCGAAGAGAAAGAACAAAGCCATCAGACCACTGAGTCAATACCATTAGTCATTTCCCATAGGCTCCTCTCCTACTCCTGCTCCCACTCCTTCTCGTACTCTTGCTCCGACTACCCTTTCTGCTTCTGCTGCTGCCACTGCTCTACTACCGCTGCGGTTGCAAGTGCTGATCGTAGTGGAAAGGAAGGATAACACAGCAGCAACATTGTTTCGAGAGTAATTGTCGCATCCGGTATTATGTCGCTGTTGCCGATACTTTTGATGATGGTCGTCATTGTCGTCCGGTGGCTGGCTTTGATGATGTTGTCTCAATATGCGTTCTCGAATCCCCAAAACCCTAAAAACGCAAAACCAGAAAACAACAACTACACAAAAGGGACAAAACCTCAAAACCCTAAAAACCCCAAACAAAAAGCAAAAAGGACTATGGAACACGGGAGTCTCTCGGAATCTGCGACGGTTCGGCTCAGCCCGAAGTTGGCGAGCCAGTTGTTATGCTCACGTCGGAGCTTGCTGGAAGCACCAAGGATTTAGGGCTTAGGTTTTAGGGTTTAGGGCCGTTTACTTAGTTCTCCAATACTCAACCTTTAACCTTTTTCGGGTTCTCATAGTTTAGTAGTAGTCTGGAAGTTTAACCTTTTATTTCCCTGGTTTATTGGGGAAGTCAGCTTAACCATAAAATAAGTCAACACAAAAAGGACTACAATTAAGGGCCTAAGTCTAGAACACCATCAGGCATGGCACCGACGTGATCAGTCGATGTTGTGATGCGGGAGATAGAAAGAAGGGAGGGGTTGAGGATTGTAGGGACGCTTCTTTTCTGCTCATGATGGACGGAATCGCATATAGCATGCACTAAACCCTAAACCCTAAACCCACCAGAACCATGGCCAAAGAACTGTAGTGCAGTGTGGCCATCGTATGAGTATACCTTAACCCCCAGGTGCCTACTATAAAGGGTACAAGAGCCCCTAGGGCCCTATGTAGTAGGTACCTGGAGGGTTAGGGATATCTAACGAAGCAAGACTGGCAGACGTTTTGATTCACAGCCCGTTCCCCGATATGAGTGAGATGAAGGCATAATCATATTGGAGACTCTAAGAACACCTGGGCATGCTCTCGGAGAAGTTTACACAGGTTATCTTAGATACTCGTCGCACTTATGCATGAAAACGTTCAAAAACCATAGCCATCATGGATGTAATGAAACCATAGACCTAGACCTATGGTCAATCACCGGCCTTTTGGGGCAGAATGTTTTGGCCGAAGGGTTCGGAAGCCCAAAGCTATCTTCGAGGGCCGGATTGCAGAGGGCTATGGTTCTAAGTGGGGTTTTGGGGTTTAGGGAGTAGGTTTAGGGTTTAGGGTCTAGGGTTTAGGGTCTAGGGTTTAGGGTTTAGGGTCTAGGGGTTTAGGGTTTAGGGTTGAACTGTTTATGGTTTAGGGTAGTTGGCGCGTGGCAGATAAGAGGAGTTGGTCTTTGGGGCAAAAGCCCTGAGCCTTCAACCCTTAGCCTAGATTAGGGTTTAGGGTTTAGGGTTTAGGGCCAATAGACGAACACTTAGTTTCCTTGCTGGGGGTTACTGTGTTTGATTGAGAGAGAAGAGGTTTAATTATCCCAGAATCCTCAAGAGTAATTTGGGGGCAAACACAAATGAAAGCAGCTAGCTCGCAGGAGAGGTGGGATCAGAGGATGTAGCTTTTACCACCCCTTCCACCCTCAACCCTTGAACCCTTCAACCCTAAACCCTCTCAAACTCGAACCCTAAACCGTTCAACCCTAAACTCCTGTGCCTCAGTTGAAGGCGGATCTCTCCTCTCGGGCTCTCAGCGACTCTTTCAAGTTGCGTCCCTCTCTCTCCAGCGACCCAGCGCGAGCGTCATGACCAGGACTGAAACCCCGACCCTAAACCCTAAACCCTAAGACCCTCACCCCGTTCCACAAAGCCCAAGACATGACTTGAAGCACGATCCTCTCGGAACCCCTTCAATCTTACGGTTCTGCGGGTTACTTGAATCATGAGTTCTACAAGGGTTCATTGCTATAAAGGCTACCATATGCATACGGGTTTAGGCTGAGGTGTGGGGTTTTGGACGAGTTTAGGGGGGCAGGAACAGGGTAAAGGCTGAAGGCCTGAAGAACTAGCAGTACTCTTCCTTAGGGTTCCTGGCCGCAACCATGGCTTATTGTGTGAAATGAGCAGTACTACCCCGGAATACTATTCTATTAATTTATTACCGCCCATTTTTAAACCTGAACCCTATGGTTGAAGGTGTTTTTGGGTTTTTCGTTGATTTTCCGGGAGGATCGTCGCCCGAGTTCGTTTCAGTTTCCTGGAGTTCTTCGAGGAGGCTGAGGACGCAGTTGCCTCCGGCTCAAGGACCTTAGGGGTTTATGGTTTAGGGTTGTGGAGGTGGATCTTTGCATACAGAGGTCTGAAAAGGTTTGTAAGAGTAGTTCCTTGCAGCCCTTATTGAGTTTTGTTAGTATGATATACCCCAAAACTCCAAACTACACTTGTTCTCGAGGCCCCTTTGCCCTCTCTTTCGAAGTTCGGATGGTTCTCTGGGTGTGGGTGCCTCTTTGGATCACTACGACACCATTAGACCAAGGACCGTGAGAAATCCTAGTCTCAAGATCTCCCCTTGATATGGTTATATTATAGGCTTATAGGGTTCAGGGTGTACGGGTTTAGGGTTTAGGTATGTTGGGTTCGGTGTCTGAGGGGCTATAGTTTTTCGCGGTTCAATCATTGGGGTTGCCTGGAGGTTGGCCTGGTCCTGGAAGTGTCGGGTCTGTAAATGTAAACGAGCAGAATTCCGCTGTGTAGGTTGACTGTCAAGGTGTACCCTCAATGTGAGCCCCAAGGTTACAATGCAGCCATAATCCAGAGGTCTTGCCTTCACCTAGAATAAGCTAAATGCTTCCACGACCTGAACCACTGGTCCCTGGGCTGCAGTTCCTTAGTTTCAGGCCTCCCATTTTACCCTGCAGCCTTGTGAGGGGGCCTCTGCACTGGATATCCTGCATCACTAGGTCGCTAGGGCTCACAATTGGCGTTGAAGGTCGACCCAGGCCATTTACGGGTTTAGGGGTCAGGGGTTTGGGGGTTTGAGGAACAGTTTAGGGCTTGCAAGACTATATTACATAAAGGACCAGCGAAGCTTCACAGGTACTTAAAGGATCGCATGGGATCGAGCAATTACTTAAGTGAAAAAACCGGTTTCCCTCGACTCTCCTCCTTTGTTGCCTCGGTTTCAATCCGATTGGCAAGTCCCCCGCGGCTTGAAGAAGAATAGAACTAGTTATACAGCTATACCATACCATGCCCTCCGATACCCTGCCGTGCATTTTTTTGTCAGGTCATTTTGTTCTACCACATGTGAAAAAACTTTTAAGGACCTCTACAACAAAAAAGGCGCAACCTTTTTCAAGCCGCTATACACATCCCCAGAACGACCCCCGCAGGCTAAACACTGATCCCTTATCCCTAAACCAATGCCAATGCTGTGCACGCAACATACCCAGAGAACCCAATACCCCTTAATTAAGGAATCTACCTTAAATCATATTACTAAGGCCCCTATAGTTTCAAGGACGATTCCTGAGTTAAGGGGTATGGGGTTCTCTGGGTAGGCAATCTGCTCGTTCTTCCTGCCCTAAACCCTAAACCCCAAACCCTAAACCCTAAACCTTTTCTTCCTGTAGGATCCGGGCTTTCAGTGCACCACCGCTCCGATCTGCGACTGTGCCTTCATGCGCGGAGGCGCCCCTAAACTCTTATAGTAGCCCTTATAGAACCCTTTATAAGGAACCCTTTAAAGGAACCCCCAAAAACCCAGACTTATGGTTTAGGGTTTGGGGCTTAGGGATTGGAGTCTAGGGTTTTGGGTTCAGGGTTTGGAATGTTTGGGATTGGTGTTTGGAGGGCGCCGGCATGATGATTGCGATGATTGTGATGCGCGCTTTCGTTGCCATCCTAAACCCTAAGCCCCAAACCCTAAACTTTAAACCCGACATCATCCTCACAATCTTCTTCATCAGCAGCACTATCAACCATATCATCGAGGCCGGCCTCTCTACAACCCTCATCATGGCGTAGATTGTAGCAACGTTCGTTGACATCTCAGCGTGCTTAGTGCATTCATCTTACAACCAAATCATGATAAGCAGAGTAAAACAAATAACTACGTACACATGTATGTATATGTGTAGACCTATGCACTAATGTTTGTAAATGTGATTTTACATGATATATGTAAAAATTATTATATGTATATATGTATGTATGTATGTATGTATGCATGTATGCATGTATGCATGTATGCATGTATTTATGTATGCATGTATGCATGTATGTATGTATGTATGTATGTGTATGTATATACACACATTATACATATGGGCTCCATCAGTGTAGAGTTCTTAGCATAAAGGCGGCCAGGAGAGACGTCTTATCTAAAATGATTCAGCCCATCCAATGACTAGCACGACTTTACTAGCCAGCCGGGGTCCGCGGATGTATCGCAAGTAGCCATACCGGTGAAGGTTTGAGTGCATAGAACCCAACTCAACCCTCAAACCCTAAAGCCTTAAACCCTAAGCCCTCAAACCCTAAACCTCTAAACCCTAAGCCACTAAACCATAAACCCCTAACCCTAAACCCTGAAGCACAGATCGCAAGGAAGCAGGGATCCTCTGGTCTTGGGCGCTTTGAACTCTCTACCCATAGGCCCCTAAGTAGTTCCTTTTATAGTTTATATTTAGAATCCTATAAGGTAATCCCAAAAAGGAACTACTTAGCGGCCTATGGGTAAACCCTACAAACCTTTAAACCCTGCCAGGAGCCAGTGCTGCTAGAGTCTGCAAAGGAGTCAAAGGAGTCGCCTGAGCCGGCCGCTTCGTAACCGAATTGGCGGCTGTTTTCGAAATTTGGGTTTCGAGTTAAGACGTTTTAGAGTTTGGATCGACCTGTTAAGTTTTAAGATCGTTGCTTTTGGAGGGTGAGGCTTAGGCATGGGCTCGATTTGTGCCGCCTGTCACTATGACAGCTCGTCGGAAGGATGTTCTGTTAAAGCTATATCCTAATCCGGATGTGGGGTGGGGGTGGTTTTGATTGCGTAACTAATATACTACTACTACTACTACTACTACTACTACTACTACTACTACTAGTACTACTACCACTACTCCTGCTGCTGCTGCTGCTGCTGCTGCTGCTACTGCTGCTGCTGCTGCTACTACTACTACCACCACCACCACCACCACCTCGTATATATGTTTGCTTCTGTCGCGACTGCATTTTGATGATACCATTAGTAGCTAAATTTCGAACAAAGGTACGCAATCGTGGTAGCGAAGGGCATCCGTTCTTCTGCGCTCGCCCTTGCATACGCTACCAAACCTCCGGCACCTGCCAGCTTGGCAGCTTTGCAGCAGTTTTAGGGGTTTACTTGTGGCACCAATCACCTGTTTGCAGGGTTGTACTACTGTACACTAGATTTACGGGGTCATGCTATACCACGTCGTACGGTCTGTCTCTGCAAGTAGGGGTCCTAGTAGGACTAGTAGGGGGTTTTTGTACGTACCCGAGTTAGTTTCGGCGATTCAGGCTTTAGGGTTGAGGGGCCCGCATTGTAGTTGGTGGTGACCTTGTATGTTGAGCTACGTGTATTAGGTGTACTCAGAACCCTGTTATTTGACGTCATTCGTGTTCATTGTGTTTATCGCGCAGATATGTCTTGCGGTTAATGTGTTTATGCTTTTTTTTCGGCTTACTTAGCGGTATACTCTGCAATCAGAAACCCTACAGCCCAAGCTTTTCCGACGGTTGAGGTTCCGATTGCGGCTTTTGCCATCACGTGCACGAGCCCGAAATCAAGCTGGACAAGAGGCACCGTGCGGCTGTGCCCCTTGGCTCGGTCCCCGGACTGTGGTGGCCCCTGACTACCCATAGGCCCCTATTTAGTTCCCTTTTTTGGGATTACCTTATAGGATTCTAAATATAGACTATAAAAAGGATCTACTTAGGGGCCTATGGGTAGACCCGAAACCTACGCGCACTAACACATAACCATTTAGTAGGGTTTCAGTGGGCTCATGGCTTAAGTTTTAATGGCCGGGATGTTGGAGCTCTCTATGAGTCCTTATGCAATGCACTGTTCGGGAACCTAGTCATAAACCCTAAACCCTAAACCCCTAAGCCCGACAAACATTGCAGACGGAAAGAGGTGTCAAAAAAAGCCTAAACCCTAAACCCTGAACCCCCTAAACCCTCAACCCTAGACTGATCCCTACAAGACTTAGGCAGAGGATGCCCTTGTCGGAGCTCTTCGAGATCATGTGGCCCTTGCTGGAGCGTCGTGCCCGAGATGCCGGCGTTTCGGAGGCTGACATCCAAGAGATGTATCAGGCCCTCTTGGGATTAGGGGTTACGACAGGGTTTAGCCTGTCCTATACTTTAACACCCTCTATGATGGAACTGAGCCGGACATTAGGAATCCTATATTCTAGACCTGATCCTAGACCCCAAGCCCTGAACCTTAAACTCACCCTAAACCCTAAACCTAAACCCTGAGAAACTTCATTTGTTCCTTCAGGTCCTCAACCACGAAAGCCAGCCGTCTGTCTCTGATGGAACGATGACGAGCCGGGCCAAGCAAAACTTCCGGCAGATGCTTCGGTCGCCTTGCCTTAGCAAAAGCCAATCTTTGGTACCTAGGCCTAGGGCCTTGGGCTTATAGGGTTTAGAACTCATTCCCATACGGGTAGTTGTCTAAATTAGGGTCCCTGTTGGGCTCCTTTTTGGGTGCCGTACTATGTTGGGGACCTAAAAAGGGACCCTAATTTAGAGAACTACCCGTATAGTCCCAGAAGTTTAACCTTTGCTTCCCCTAAGACACAGGACAACTAAGGTCTACCAACAAGAAGATGTCGATGCTGCTCTCGATGATCGCAGGCCGATGCACGGCAGATGGTCAAGAGCGGCTCTTGGACGTGCTTCGTCGCTTGCGCAGTCGCGACTAAAATCGCCTGCAGAACAGGTGTTCTTGCAGCGCCTATGTTCGGAACGAACTTGGAATGCTACAAGCCACTGAAAGATACCGTTAGGGGCAGGATCCCTATGTCTCTTGCAGTGATCGGAAAGCCGGACGGAGTCCCTTTCCAGCAGCGGTCTGCGGGAGAAAGTTCGGACGGAGTCCTGCTCATAGCATCTCCTGGAATCTGGCTTGACCTAGCCGCTCCAGGGGAGTGCTACTCCCAGAGAAGTTTTTGCCTTCACAACGCCCGAACAAGGGCCGAGTGCATCGCCGTGTGGCTGGAGTTCCCCCGTTCAAACATGGGAACTCCGGTGGACTCCGGTATCGCGTTCTCTCCGGGGCTTTCTGTGGTCCGGGTTTAAGCCTGAACTCCAACGGCCAATTGGCAGACGAATCTCAATCACCTTGCTAGTTTCATTGAGGTTGAAGCGCTTGGAAAACAGCCCATAGGGTTTAGGGCTGCACCCCCCGCTGTTTGAATTTAAGCAGTGCAAGCTTGCTTCACAGTAGAAGAGTTTCTTGTTTTGAGATCCATCACGCGATCATTGTGTTTGCTGCGCCCCCGCGACCCACCGCTGATGAAAATATAGGTAACTCGAAGTTATGCTTTGCAAAAAATAATGACAGGGCAGATTAAGACAAATGATGAACCGAAATCGCCAACTGATGAGGCGTGAATCTCCAAATGAGGGGGCGTGTTTAAGATGTCTGGTGAAGCGGAATCGCCAGATGAGGGGGCGTGTTTTAGATATATGTTGAATCGGAATCGCCAATGAGGGGGTAGTTTAAGAATTATGATGAAACGGAATCGTCAGGCATGTTTGGTATATAATGATCCGGAATCGCCACATGAGGGGGCGTGTTCAGGATGTATGTTGAAGCGGAATCGCCAAATCAGGGTGTTTAAGATTTATGGGCACCGGCAGCAGCAGCATCAGCACGACGAGCAGCAGCACCAGTAACATCAGCAGCAGCAGCAGCACGACAAGCACCGGCACCAGCAGCAGTAACATCCCCCAATAGCTTGACGCGCAGGCAAACCCTTAAAAGTAGAGTCCCCCATTAGCTTCACGCACAGGCAAACCTGAAAACTAGAATCCCCCAAAAGCTTGACGCACAAGCAAACCCTGAAAACTAGAATCCGCCACTAGCTTGACGCGCAGGCGAACCCAAACCATGTCCATGAAAAAAGCCTCCCGCCAAACAAACAAACCTCCACCAGTCGGGGCATGCTGCCTGAAACTGGCGCACACTCTGAACGATTATCGATGGCGTGTCATAAAGCCAGGGACCTAATCCTCATTCTTATATCATATTATACAATGCTATATATATATACACATTTTTTATATCAGATATATTATGCTAATTATGCCATGTTATTTTTCTACGATATTGTTACGAATGTATACCGACCTCTGCGGCAGCGGCAACACTGCAAGCCGCCTTTCCCGACGCGGAAACTCTGGATGACGTTTGGGAGTTACGTGGTGCGCGTGCCCGCCACGCAACAAGCGGTTTAGGGTTTCGAGTTTAGGGATGTTTAGGGTTTAGGGTTTGCCTGTTTAGGGTTTAGTGTTACCTGAAGCCTTAACCACGCAGTCTTGACCCCGAGCTGCCCCATCCCGGAGAGAACCTTGATTAATTTAATTGCGGGAGTTTCCCTTAGTTTAATAGGGTTTAGTAAAGTTCAAAGTTAAGAGCATGTGGGAGTTTAGGAATTCGGGGTGCTTTCGGCTGAGCTTTTCGAGTTTTCAGGGTTCCGGCGCTCGGAAGCCGAATCTAGGGTTTAGGGTTTAGGGATGTTTAGGGATTAGGGTTCTAGGGTTTAGGGCTCAGGGCTTTAGGGTGGAACCCCAGAGCTCTTGACTCTGCCATTTTGAGCCCCAGCCCCCACCCCTCGTCCAGAAAGCGAGATAGAGGAGCTAGAGAAGACCAAATACTGTAGGGTCTGGGTTTTCGGGTTTAGTGGGCTTAGAGTATTCTAGTGTCATTACAGGGAAGTTTAGGGTTCCGGGGGTGAAGGCGTAGGGCGTAGGGTTCAGGACTACAAATAAGGGGCCGCTTGGATCGAGTAAACTGCGACCCTAAACCCTAAACCCACAAAAGCCCTAAACCCTAAAACCCCTAAACCCTAAACCCTGAAACCCCTAAAACCCCTAAAACCCGAAAACCCGAAAACCCTAAAACCCTAAACCCGAAACCCGAAACCCGAAACCCTAAACCCTAAAACCCCTAAACCCTAAACCGCCAAAACCGCTAAAACCCCTAAAACCCCTAAAACCCCTAAAGCCCTAAACCCTAAAACCGCTGAAACCCCTAACCCCTAAACCCCTAAACCCCTAAAACCCCTAAAACCCCTAAACCGCTGAGCCCTTAAACCCCTAAACCCCTAAACCCTAAACCCTTATAGATCCCTTTAAAGGGACCCTTATGGTACCCTTTAAAGGAACCCCTAAAACCCCGAAACCGCTGAGTGGATTCTTGTTGACTTCAGCAGGGAGGCGCGGGTGACACGGGCTCCAGGAACACTGGAGCTTGGCAGAATGCGGCCTTGCCCGAGGGTTGTTAGGGATATATATATATATATATGTATGTATGTATGTATACACATATATGTATATGTGTATATATATATATGTATAGCGAGAGAGATAGAGAGGGAGAGAGGGAGATGGTAGGGGATCGTAGATAGATAGAGAGAGAGAGAGAGACATATATATATATGTAAGTGTATATATGTATATATGTACGTAGAACCTTTATGCTCTATTTGACGGTCGCATCTTGTGCTTTGCAAATCTCACTAAACATTTAACATTAAAAAAAGAAAGAAAAAATGTTAAACTTTTAAGTTCGTAATGTGCTTAGTTTGCGAGAGAAGATTTCGGCACCGAGTCAAAATTAAGAATTCTTCTAAATTTCATAATCTTCGATTTGCTTTTGGTTTGAGAAAGGAGAATTCGGCACCGTGTCGAAATTTAAAAGTTTGATTAAGTTTAACAAGGACGTTTTTATTGCTGAAATTCTTAATTGTTAAGCCTGTCCTCGGTTTGAGAGAATAAGGTTTCGGGACCGATTTAAAATTAAAAAACAACAATCTCCTTATAAGGACACGTTTTTAATTTCTAAATGTTGAATCTGTCCTCGTTGCGGGAGACGAGGATTTCGGAACCGATTTAAAATTTACAAGGTTTTAAATGTTTAAGGTTTCCAAATATTGAAATTCAGCATTTAGAAATATGAATATGTCCTCATTCAGATGCTTTTAAGGTTTTCATTTTTGAGTCCGCAGTCTCCGTTTGAGAGACGAGGATTTCGGGACCGACTTAACATTAGAAAATGGAGTTCAATCATTGCAAATATTCGAAAAATAAAAAATGTAAAGATTGTTGAATAAGAAACTTTGCAACTGTATATCTGTCCTCGGTTTGGGAGGCGAGGATTTCGGTACCGATTTAAAATTTACAAATTGTTAAAAATTAAACAAGGTTGAATTTTCAGTATTCACGAATTTTCAAGATGTTCTTAATAAAGAACATTTTCAGATCTTAAAATTTGTCCTCGGTTTGGGAGACGAGGATTTCGATACCGGTTTAAAGTTTGGAAATTTAAAAATACTTGTAAGAATTTTGTTAAGTTTTAACCTTTGTAAATTTTAAAGTTTCAATACGTTTGAATCGGTCCCGAGTTTCATTCTCCCAAACCGAGGACCGATTCAAAATGTTTAACAATTTAAAATTTCCTGTCAAAAAGATTAGTCTTAAACTTTGAATTTTCTCATTTTTCAACCTTTACAGTTCAATTCGGGTTCGAAATCCCGTTCTCCCAAAGCGAGGATACATTCAACACACAAGCATTTTCATCA